TCAAGTCGACTCGCCATTTATAGAAGAAATCATGGGGGAGAAGGTCCCTCCAAAATTCAAGCTACTGATGGTGAAACAATTCGACGGGTCGGCCGACCCGATAGACCACCTTGACGCCTACCGAGAATGGATGGATATTTACAGGGTGTCAGAGGCGATCAGATGCCGAGTGTTATCGACAACTTTGAGTGGATCAGCCAGGGTATGGTTTTGACAGCTGAAGCGAGGTTCGATCTTGAGCTTCAAGAACCTGGCTAGGGCATTTGTGATCCAGTTCATAGGAGGACGAAGCCGAAGTTGAAGCCGACCCGTGGCTTATCTTGTGACCATCAAACAGAGGGCAACAAAGAGCCTTCATGACTATGTGACTTGGTTTAATGAGGAGAAATAGGTTGACAGTCTCACGGATGCAGTACCTCTACTAGCTTTCATGTCCGGCATCAAGGACGAACACCTTTCATTCTCTTTTGGAGAAAAGACACCGAGCACCTTCTCGGAGGCACTGAGCCGAGCTCAGAAGTATATGAGCGCCGGAGAGTTCTTCCACTCAAAGAAAGAGCCAGAGGAAAAACGGTCCGACTAAAGAGAGAGAGATCTAGGATAAGCCACAGTTGTCGAGATGGGAGAAAAGAGATCGGACTAGCCAGAAGGATCCACCCCAGAAGTTCGAGAGATATACCCCAACTACGGTCCCACTCGAACAAGTATTGATGGAGATCCAAGACCAAAGATTGCTCAAATGGCCAGAGAGGATGAAGGCATCTCCAAGTAAAAGAAAGAAAGGGCGATATTGCCTTTTCCATCGAGACCACGACCATGCTACTCTGGATTGCTTTGACCTCAAAGAAGAAGTGGAAGGACTCATCTGGAGAAGATATCTCAAAAAATATGTGGAAGATCCTAAAGCGACGCAAAATAGTGTGAATAATTGTAAGTCACCCGCTCGAGAAATCCGAACAATAATGGGAGGTTCGGTAGAGAGAGAATCTTGCAGAAAGAGAAAGGCGAGCATACGAGAAACCCGGACGAGCCTCGGACGACATGAGATCTACCATGCATTTGTTGTAGAGCAACCGGCAAAAATCGAGTTCTTAGAGGATGAGGCGACTCACCTTCTCCACTCACATAACGATGCACTGGTCATCACTCTACAAATAGCCAATGCAAATGTGCACTGGATCTTGGTAGATGGGGGCAGCTGGGCAGATATCATCTCCTTGGCACCAACAAAGCCATGGATCTAGGAGAAAAATGGCTTAAAAGTACCCCGGTACCACTAGTAGGGTTTGGAGGAGAACGGGTCATTCCTGAAGGGAGAATAGAATTGCCGGTGATACTCAGAAGCGGGCCAAAAAGCATCACTAAAATGGTAAACTTTTTGGTCGTCGACTATGCATCCTCCTATAATGCGATATTAGGAAGACCAACAATGCACATGCTCAAAGCAAGACCAAGATTCTTGTAGGTTTATGTCATTATGCCCCTTGGGAGGAGTTGGATCGAGCTCTCTCCTCCTTGGATCAGGCCAACAGCCTCCTGGAAATTATCCTTAGAGGTATCTTGAGGAAATAGAGCGACATAAAATTGGTCGCGGTTAGAGGTTGTTCACCCCCGAGGTAGGACCACAAAATGAAGCAACTAATCATGGTAGACCACCCGTTGGGAACAATTTGATCAGAAGGAGCTACTTGATTGAAAGCTAAAAATTTTTGATGAAATAGAGACAACGGTAAACGGATCACATTGAATTGGAACATGGCTACGTAAAATACAACCTCTCTAGGGAAAGGCCCGTCAATGCTTTCTCTCAGATTCGGAAGATGAAGGCTAACCGAATCAGGATTGCGGTATTTCGAATGCAACCGACGTAGGTCCCTCGTTGTAAGAGTAAAATTATCTACCCAAGAGGGACGGTAGGGTCGAGACCCAGAAGAAGGATTCGACGACGACCCGTCATCAAAAGAGGTCCACTCGAAGTTAAGATCAGATTCTATGGTGGTAAGGAAACACAACAAAAGCAAAGTAAAGAGAAATGTACCTTAGTTGAAGGGATGATCAACACTGGAAGGATTGAAGGGGGTTTAAATAGCCCTCAACATAGGAGTATAGTTCTCGGACTGATGGTCTTTGACCATCGGTCCGAGACCTTCTCGGCTCGGTACCCGAGAAACCTATGATCTTCTCGGTCACGAGTCTTACAGTGAGGGGACAATTCTGACCTTCTCGGGTCTCGTGATAATGGACAACTCGGCTAGCCTGGACTGAAAGACTTTAACCATGAGATCGAGGCATGCTCGGCTCAGTACCCGAAAAGCTTGTGACTTCCCCAGTCACGGGCCTGACATAGCATGGCAAGTCACGACTACTGTGGGGGCAGGACAGCCGAGAAGGTCTTTCCTGTATGATAGCTAGCAAGTTGTGAAAGGTTAAGTATGATCTGACCACCCTTGATAAAGCTCCTTGTTCGCGTGTCCCAAAACTCCTATCAACATACTCCCAAGGAGACGGAGACAAAGTCATCGCCTTAGGAGTAGGAGGCAATTGTTATACAAAGGACAAACGACAAAGCAACGAGAAGAGAATCAAAGAGACTACCAGACGAACCAGACGAATCGAGCTGAGCACGGCTCAGTCCCGACCCGTGCTCGGTGCAGCCGAGCTCGGCCCATGGCCAAGCCCGACACTCGCCCTCTTCTAATCTCCATGCACCTTGGGCCCTGCAACAATGAATTAGGGCACATTTAGAAAGATCTGAAATCTTTCAAGCGACTATAAGTAGGTCATGTAGCCTAACCCTAAGGTAAGCCGAATTCTACACTTGAGTTCCATTGCTCAACTACTCTCCTTGCTAACTTAGGCATCGGAGCCCGGTGTGACTCAATCACACCGATCTAGTTGTGTTCAATTTTGCAGGTCTTCGATTCCCTGATAATCGAGTTTGGTGTGAGTTATGGAAGGAATCGGGAGAGCATGCTCCAATTACCTTATAAACTTAAATATTCCAGACTTTCTAATTTGTGTGAGACTATATTTACACAACGAAATGTCTCCAATTAGGTACGTCTTCTTTTTACATTTTTAATAAAACCCAACTTAGATTCCATTATTCAATCAAAATTAAGGAAATGAAATTAGAGAGAGGGAATTGGGGTTGAAGCCCAAGTAAGCATAGACTAATAATAAACATTTTTCAGTATTGCAGGTTCTCTAACTCCATGTAGATCAAAAGGAAAAAGGAAAGATATATCAATGATTACGATTGCAAGGAAGAAAAAAGAGTATCAGATTTTGACATTCTTCATTCATCCTTTGGAAACAAACAAAATTTTTTGAATCAAATCCCCTGTAAGAGATCTAATATATTATAGAAATTATACATCACAAGGAGGAGGGATCTGCACCCCAGAAGTAGCTATCTTGGCATTCAAACCCGACGAGACGATGGTAGTGTTTCTCGAGTTGGTGCCGCTGTAAGCCAAGTTAACAGTCTTTCAGCTCAACCCCCTCGCATGGAAACAATGCGCTGCACTCCAACAACACCGCCACATTTGTCGTCGACGTACCGCGAATGTTCTTGAAGTGGACGTCACTGATCTTCCACTTGGACTCCTGAAAGTTAGAGATTAATCATCGAGTTTTAGTTAAGGCTGTTTAAACGCGAAGATAGAAGATAGATTATAGATTTATGTTGTGTTTTGTGTTACCTTTTTTTGCTTTGTCCCGTAGGTTTGGTCGATGATTATGGGGTTCTTGACGTTTCTCATGATGATGTCTTCGAAGATAATTTTCGTTGCTAACCCTGACACCGTCCCTGCCCATGTCTTGATTCTAGCACCGTTGGTGGTGTTGAAAATGGTGCAGTTCTTCACAAGAACGCCGACCACGCTTTTCTCCTTTGGGTACTTGTCGAGGCTGCCCACACTGAATATTATATTGTTTGTTGTTAAGGATTCCACGTTGAAAATATAATATTGACGAACACGCGTTTAAATCAAATTGGAAAGTCATCTTAATTAGGTTATGTTTTACCTGAGGCCATTTCCGGGGCCGCAGGTGACGTTGGTGACGGTGACTTTTTCACAGCTGTGGCCGATGGAGACGCAGCCATCACCGGTGCCGATGACGCTATCAGAAATGGTGACCAATTTCGAGGTGCTGAGGTGCATACCGTCGGTGTTGGGGCTGTTTCCGGGGGCCGTTATCTTCATGTTCATCGCCGTGAAGTTATAGCAGTCGAAAACAGAGGTGTGGAAACCTTTGCTGTTCACAGAAGTCAGCCCGTTCACAATCGTATGGTTCAATCTCGAGAATTTAATCGACTACAAAAAATCAATAAAAAAGAAAGAAATCTATTAATTAATCATGATTATTTCAATATAATTATCGAAAATGGAGAGGTGATTGGAGTTAGAGAATTTTAGTTTACAATTGGAAGACTTTGGCAGGAGATGTCCTTCTTGCAGTTGTTGTAGGGCCAGGCGGCGGCGCCTTGACCGTCGAAGACGCCGGCGCCGGTGAGGATGAAGTTTTTGATATCTTCGATGGAGAACCATTCTGGGGAAGAATATTCGCTGATATCGGTAGTGGCTTTTACAGTTCCCTGAATTTCGAGGGTGATTGGCGAGCTTCGGCACGGACCGGCAAATACCAGCGGACCCACCAGAAATCGGCCGCCGGGAATCAGAAGCGTCGCCGGACCGCTGGTGTTCCGGCAGGCTGCAATCCACGCTGTCATGAATGCCTGTGTGGCAAAATTAATCAAACAATAATTAGCAGTCTGATTAATTTGTTTGGATGAAACTTAAACCAAATTACAAATTCTTGTTATTTAAGTTAGGAAGTACATCTTTTTATTAAACGACTTTCAGCTGTTATTGATACGTGTCTGTTATCAAGCGTTCGATTCAAGAGTTTAAGAAGGTGTAATCAAACAAATTAAAGTACTTCATTTCATTTTTTCTTAAGAGAGAGAATTTTTTTGTTTGATATTTAATTTTCATACCTGAACATCATCATTCTTTCCATTCGCTTTAGCTCCATACTTTCTAACATCGTAAACTTTGCCGCGGCCTCTATTACCGCTGCTCAAAACAGCATCGAGATCATTCACCGCGTCGGAGATGGTATCGAGAGCGGCAGAAGTCTTCCCACAGGACTGCCAAGAAAATACTAAGAAAAGGGTTTGAAGGAGCTTAAAACTTCTAGCCATGGCCATAGTAAACTATAATATATTCTTAAAGTTGCTTCCAAAGCTAGGGTTTTCTTTTTACAGATGTCCTTTTTTTTTCTTTAGCTGCAAAGGAAATGAGAGGGTTTTTCTTGGATATTTTTATTCATAATCAGAAGCCCTATTTATTCATGTTTAATGAGAAAACCATATTTACGAAGTTGGAACAAAATTTAAAATTGGTTTCATATCTTAATTTTGGGCGTTGTGGAAAAATTCTAAGTATAGAATATATGTTAGGCTTCGTATCAGTAATTGGTAGCTTTTTTTAATTTTCTGCCTTCCATTAAATGAGTTGTTTAAGGTAACAATAATTCAGTGCCATATTTCAGAAAACACAGTCCCAAACTGGCTAATTAATTTTACGTTCATAATTATGTGGAAGAATGTTGCTATGCTTCTTTTTAACTATATCGTCTCTACTTCTTGTTTTTCGCTTGGTTTATATTTCTGTTTGAACGTATCACTCTTTTTTTTTTCTTTTTTGAATTTCACTTCTAATTGGATAATATGAAGAGGAGAAATTCCCTACATTTGAACTCTATACTAATAATAATGAAAAAATAAAATAAAATCCTCTATACTCAAAAGTAGGGTTAAATTATTTGGAGAAATATACCTATTTCAACAAATGTGAGGGCTAACAGTTGAACTTTCAACTGTTTTAACTATATTTAAATATGACATATATATGAGGATTTGAACCTCCAATCTCGTATAAATAAGTAGATATGTCATTTATTATTAACCTAGGCTCATATTGGCTAGTTTCTAAAAGTTACTTTTTGGTTCATATATTGTTAAAATATTGATAACATGGTTCATCTGTTAGTTTAAGCTTTTAGATTCTATGGTTACTTAACGTAATCAGCATATGAAATATTATCTTTGACTCCTCTGTGTCCTAGATTCAATGGTTATTTAAGACATATAATATAAGTTTTGAAAATTATAAACTTAATTCATATTTTTCATCTATAAAATTAGAATATATATAAAAAAAACTCACACACGTAGGGGTAATAGAAAGCTCAAAGGTACGGTAAACTCATAAAAATATAAATAAAACAGTACTACACGCCTTCCAGGAGAGTTATGAACAGTAAAAAAAGTTTGGAAAAAAAACTGTCTCAAATAGTGGGGGCACATTTTTTGCGGGAGAAAACGTTATTTTTAAGATTTTTAAAATTTTATGATAGTTTTTAACTGTCACGAAAATTGAGATTTTTTCTTTGATTCAATGACAGTTAAAAATTGTCATAGAGGTACGATTTGGGCGGGAAAAAAATGCTAATTTTCGAATTTTGTTTAAATTTTTTATAGTTAAAAACTGTCATGAAAACTGTATTTTTATTTTAGTCAAGGACAATTAGAAATTGTGAAGGAATGGTAGAGGCACAATTTTGGCACGAAGAACGCTAATTTTTTAATTTTGTATAATTTCGAATTGTAAAATTTTCTTTTGATTCAATGACAGTTTTTATTTTATTTTTATTTTTTTAGGATTTCATTACAATTAAAAAAAAAACATGATATATAGAGTATTGCCATCATTTTCAGAAATAAAAAACATTTTTTACCTATCACAACTTTATTTAACCATTTTGGATTATACAAAAAAAAATGTCACAAATAGTTTTGATCAGCTTGTTTTTGCTTTTTGCAAGAATTCAATACTTTTTCTTACCGTATGTTCCGCGTCAGTCACAAATAGTTCGTGACTTGTTTTACTTTTTGAGTTTTTCTTGTGTTAGTTTTGTTATTATGATATTTTTATGGTTTATTGAACTTCAATCAATCCCATGCCCATCCCCACCATAATGGCCCAGGTTTCCTTTTTAATAGCAAATTATAAACCTTTGTAAAAAAAAACAAAAAATACAAATTCTATCCTTTTGTTCAAACAAAATGAAAATAATATTCCTTTGTTCAGAAAAAAAAAGAAAGAAATAAAGAAACAAAATAAAAGAGGGTAAATTATATCCATTTGTTAAAAAAATATATAAAGCAAATTATCTCACTCCCTCATCACACGTTTTTCACACCCCTCCCCACTTGGTGCGCTATTCGTGAGATCTCAATGGCGGAAAATTGAAGCGAACCCCGCGGCGATCAACTCCTGGCAACAGCCACGATCACCGGTAGCGTCCATCTCCCAACGGTGACTGTTAAGGATCCCAAGAATGGACCTTACATAGGTTTATGATAGACATGAGTTACTCCTCTCATTGCCAATTGATTTTGAGATGAAACCCCATGAATATTAATAGTGACGAACAATTTGAACCAGGTGCGTTCCTATCTGCCTCCCTTTGCGTACCGATAGTCTTAAGAATTTCAAAGGACGATAAGCTAGAAGTATAAGTATTAAATGAGCCAACTAAACGAGACAATAGTGGTATTTTGTTTTTTGGCTTACCCATTGATACAAACATGCATTTTGTTGGCCACCACATGTAGGAGTTTGATATTTTGTCTCATGGAAGGTTTGTTTGAACAGTTTTGCTTGATCTTTTCTTATGAAATGAAGCTATTGTTCGGGTCTATTGTGGTATGATGTTCAATCATTAGTCATGCCTTATGTTTTTTATTAGATTACAAATTAGTATGCACTAGTAGAAAAGTGGTATTCCATCACAGTTGTGAACAGTAAAAATGTTTGGAGGAAAAAAAATTGTTATAAATGATGGAGGCGCGTTTTTTGCAGGAAAAAACTCTATTTTTCGAATTTTGTAAGTTTTATGACAAACTGTCACAGAATTGAATTTTCAATGACAGTGAAAAACTGTCACGAAATGGTGGAGGGAGCGATTTTGGCGGGAAAAAACGGCAATTTACGAAAATTTTCATGCTTTTATGACATTTTATAATTGTCAAGAAAAATAAAAAAAATTCAAGTATTCCATGACAATTACCTAGACCATCTTGAGAATGTATAACATGCAAAAACAAATGCTTTTGAGCACGTTTCATTTATATCGGAAAAACTGCAGCCTTGTTAACGATAATAATTATTTCGGGGTTGTCTGGTTGCATCGAGTATAGATTTATGCTTAATAGTTTCCCCAAATACTCCATGAAACAAGTAGAAAATAGTATTTGGTATAGTAGTATGCTTATCCTACGTAATTGTGCCCTTCCTCTCTTTGGTCCCGAGTATGAGCCCTATGAATTTAAATTATTTTTTTCCACCCTCTATTAATATATTTTTATAAAAATAATATAAGTTAATTCTAGTTTCACCAAGCATTTCGTAAACAAAATATTCATATTTAAATTATACCCGGGTTTTTTTTTATTGGAATGAAAGGTAGACCATTTTGAAATTCTATATAAATTTAAAAAAAAAAAGTAGTTTCCAAGAACAGGTTTTTTTTTCCAAAATATGATTTTTTTTCTTCAAATACTCAACTTTTTTTCTTTTCTCATATTCATGTCTAAAAAATTTATTTCTCACTCTAATTTTTTCTATTTCTAAATCTCTTTCTAAAATTTTCATATTTTGAATATTTATTATTATTTATCTCTCTCCAAAACTTTATGTATTTTTGCTTTTTTAATAGACCAGTTTTATTTCTCTATCTAAAAATTTAATATTTTTCCTAACTTTTTTCTCTCTAAAATTTCATATTTTATAAATTTTCTTTCTCTTTGTAATCTTTTTTTTCTCTGTGAATTATATTTTATTTTCTCGTTCAATTTTCTTTCACTGTAACTTTTATTTTATCTTTGTATTTATTTATTTTTCTTTAAAAATTATATTTTGAATCTTGTTTTTATTCTCCAAATTTGTTTCCACTATAAATTTTCACTTTCTTTATAATTTTTTTTTAACATTTTTTTCCTCTGACTTTATTTTTTTTCTCTACAATTTTTCTCTCTTTGTCTTTAACTTTTCTTTCACTATTTTCTTTCTAAATTTTTTTATTTATCTCTCTAAAATTTATCTTCCAAAAGTTTATTTACATCTTTCGAAACTTGTATTTTCATCTCTATACATTAGGGGAAGACAAAATTTTCCGCAGGTTGTGTCCCAAAAATAGGAAATGCATGTCCCGACCCCATCTCCAATTCTATTTTTTTAAAAATTAATATATATTTATTACACTTTTTTTATACTTAAATTCTAAAAATAATTATAAACAATTATAAAACTGATAATTTTTCTCAAGAACATCTCTTGGACCCAAAAACGAGGTGGAGACGGAGACTAAAAATTTTCTGCACGAGAATGGGGGAGAGCATCCTCACTCGCATCCACACCATTGTCATCTCTACTCTACATAAAATTTTCTCTCTCTAATATGTATTTTCAATTTTCTAACTTTTTAAAAACAAAAAACAAAAAATGGTTACCAAACATATTTTGGTTTTCTGTTTTTTAAAAACAAAAAAACAAAAAATGGTTATCAAAGTTTTTGTTTTTTAAAAACAGAAAACTAAGAACCCAAAACTAAAAAGAAAAAAAACCAAAAACTAAAATGGTTATCAAACGGGTCCTTAATTTTTTGTTTTTAGTTTTCTGTTTTTAAAAAACAAAAATCATATATGTTTGATAACCATTTTTTATTTTTTCTTTTTAAAATACAAAAAACCAAACATGTTTGGTAACCATTTTTTTTTTGTTTTTAAAAAGTTAGAAAATTGAATATACATATTAGAAAAATTTATATATAGAGTAGAGATGACAATGATATGGGTGGAAATGAGGATGTTCTCCGCCATTCTCGTGGTCGTAAACTATTTAGTCTCCTGTCTCCATCTTATTCTTCGGTCCAAGAGATGTTCTAAAAAAAAATTGCTGGTCGTATAATTAATTTTAATTATTATTAGAATTTAAAAAATAAAAAGTGTAATAAATGTATATTAATTATTTAAAAAATCGAATCAGGAACGGGGTCGGGACATGCATTTCCTATTTTGAAGTAGGGCCCAACCCTGCGGAAATTTTTGTCATCTCTAATGTAGAGACGAGAAAATATAAGTTA